TTCCCATTTCATGTTGAGGTGCTTGATGTCATTCAGAACTGTTCGTGTCCATGATATGCATGGTCTTCCTCTCTTTCTTGCATTTTCTGGCTTCTATTCAAGGGCAGTATTTGGTAAGTGTTCTTTTTCCATTCTCAGCACATGTCCCAGCCACTGATGTCTTCTTTTGTATATTATTTATGAGAGGGTGCCTTGTCCAGTAATTTTTCTGACTTCTTCATTTGTCTTTCTATCTTTATATGTTATTTCCAATATTCTTCTCAGACATTTCCGATGAAATGTATCCAGCTTTTGCGTATCTCTCTTGGTAAGTTGCCATGTCTCACTGCTATATGTTGTGATGGCGATAACAATTGCTTTGTACACATTCAGTTTTGTCTTGAGGGAGATGTTTTTGAGTTGCCAGATGTTTTTGAGTCTTCTAAATGCATCATTTGCCTTCCCGATTCTTCTTATTTTCTCAGAACTAGTACCATCTTGGCTGATGGTACTTCCAAGATAGGTAAAATTGTCTGCCTTCTCCAGTTTCTCTTCTTCAATTTTGATTTCTGTCCCTATAGTCCCCATTAACATGACTTTACATTTCTTTGCATTGTATCTCAAACCTATTTTCTCCATGATTTCTTTTACTTGGTTTGTGCATTTTTGTAGTTCGCTGGCATCTTCATTGATAAGAGCAATGTCGTCAGCAAAGTCTAGCCTTGAATTGTTCCATTTTAGGCCATATGTATCACTGTTGCATTGTTTTAATTCATAGTTGATGACTAGCATAAACAAAAAAGGAGACAGGACACACCCCTGCCTTACACCTATCATGATACTGAATGGCTTACTCAATCCATTTTCCATTTAATGCAGCATTGTGAGTTGGCATAGAATGCCTTCATAATGTTAATTAATTTTGTTGGAATTCCATATTGTTCCACAATTTTTCACATTGTTTCTCTGTTTACACTATCGAATGCCTTTTGAAGGTCCACAAAATTGATGGAAAGACTGCCTTGGAATTCAATTGTGTTCTCAATAATCCGTCTCAGGGTGAAAATAGCGTCTGTGCATGATCTCCTTTGTCTAAATCCAGATTGTTATACACATAGGATGGTATCCATCTTTCCTTTCATTCTGTTCAGGGTGACTTTTCCTGTGACAGAAAGAAGTGTTACTCCCCTCCAATTTGAACAATTGTTTAGATCACCTTTCTTTGGTAACTTGAATATGATATTGAGGATCCATTCTTCTGGCACTTTCTCCTCCATCTATATTTTGTTGCACAGCGAACAGATGACTGATTCCACGTCTTCACCTCCATATTTAAGCATCTCAGGATGAATGCCGTCCAAACCAGGTGCCTTGTTGTTTTTCAGATCCTGCAATGCTTTTTTTTCTTCTTCATTTTTTACTTCAGATACATCTATATCTAGGTCTAATGGTTTATCATTGTTAAATTCCAGTCTTGTAATTGGTCCTGGTTTTGTTTAGCACTTCTTTGAAGTGTTCCACCCATCTATTTTCTTTGTGTTTTCAAAATTTCTCCTTGTTTCCCTTTCACTGGGACACTCCTGAATTTTGATCCATATCCTGTTAACTGTTTCAGGATCGTGCAGAATGTTCTTGTATCATTTCTTTCCCGTGCTTCTTCAGCTTCACTAGACTTACTTTCTTTGCAATTTTGCTTATCTTTTTTGCATTGTTTCTTTACTGCTTTGTCAAGGTTCCTGTAGGTTTGTTTTGTTTCTTCAGTCGCATGTTGTAGTACTAGAGCAGGGGTGGGCAAACTACAGCCCGCGGGCCACGTTCAGCCCATCAGACCTTATAATTCGGCCCTTGAACTCCCGCTGTGGAGCAGGTTTGGGAGCTTTCCCCGCTCTGGGGCTCCAGCCCGGGAGCAGGGTCAGGGTCTTGCCTTGCTCTGCTCCGCATGTGCAACAGCTCCACGCGGCTCCCAGAAGCAGGGGCAGCCAGGGGGCTCCACATGCTGCCTCCGCCCCAAACTCCGGCTCTGCAGCTCCCATTGGCCAGGAACCGCAGCCAATGGGAGCTGCAGGGGCGGTGCCTGCAGACAGGGCAGCGCGCAGAACGGTGTGGCCCTGCCTCCGCATGGGAGCCAGAGGGGGGAACGGGCTGCTGTTTCCAGGAGCCACTTCTGGTAAGGGCCGCCCGGATCCTGCACCCCTGAGCGCCCTCCCCCTCCGCACCCCAACTGCCTACCCCAGCCCTGATTGCCCTCCAAACCCTTTGATCCCAGCCCGGAGCACCCTCCTGCACCCCAAACCCCTCATTCCCAGCCCTACTCCAGAGTCTGCACACCCAGACGGAGCCCTCATCCCCCCATGCATCCCAATCCCCTGCCCCAGCCGGCCCTCCATACAATTTCCATACCAAGATGTGGCCCTCAGGCCAAAAAGTTTGCCCCCCCCCGTACTAGAGCCTTTGTTTTCTTCTTTTGTCTATAATTTTCTATGTTTCTTCTGAGATGCACTGTTCTTTATTGCCTCCTCTCTTTCTACCAATTATCTTTCCAGCTGCTTCTAGCATAGCTGTTTTGAAAAGATCCCAGTATTTTTCCACTTCAGTTTCTTCAAGATCTTTAAGAGCCTCAAACCTATTCTTGACCTCTATCTGGTACTCTTTTTGTATCCTGCAATCTTGTAGTTTCTGTGTATTGAATACTCTGAGTCTGTGTTCTTTCTTCTTAAACGCTTTAAACTTCAATTTGATGTTTGCTTTCAGCAAATAGTGATCGCTCCCTATATCTGCTCCTCTGACTACTCTTGTGTCTAACACTGATGTTGTCCACCTCTGACTAACACAGATATCATTGATCTCAGTTTGTGTACGACCATCTGTTGAAATCCATGTCTTTTTGTGTATGTTTTTATGTTGGAAGAAAGAATTGCAGATGCTAAATTCAAGAAGTCTTGTGCTGTTGTCTGTCATTGTTCCATTTGTATGTGGGCCAATGATTGTTTCCCAACCTCTTCTTTCATTTCCAATCTGGGCATTAAAATCTTCCATAACCAGGACAAGATCGTGGTTTGCTATTTCTTTCATTACATCCTTCAATTCTGTGTAGAATCTCTGTCCTCTTCATCTGCATCATTTGTTGGAGCATATGCTTGGACTATGGTGCACTTAATGTGCTGAGAGTGGAATCTAGCTGCTTGTAGCTTATCTGATATTAGCTGCCAATTCACGTGTAATTTCTTTGCAGTGCTATTTGTGATGATTCCTACACCTCTCTCATGTTTGGTTCCACCTGAATATATCATTGGTTTTTTTGCAGATGTTATCATACTTTGATCTTTCTATCTAACTTCACAAAGTCCTAGGATGTCAATTTTATATCTATCAATTTCTTTGATTACCTGTGCTAATTTTCCTGCACTTTTTAGAGTTCGTACATTCCAGGTAGCTATGGATGTACTCTTTTTGGCTGTCAGAATTTGGACCATGGAGGGGGTGACTTCCCAATGGATTTGATCATCCACTGTCATATGCGCATCTGAATGCTTTCATCCTCCTCAGGCCATGATTTTTGGTTTATGTGTTTGATGTGAGTAGTGGCTGTAGCTAGAACTTTTTTTTTATGGTGACAGGAAGCCCGCCCCATCGACCAACCCTCCTCCTTTTTGATCCGGGCTTGGGACCGGCACTGGCGGAGTTGAAGCCTGCTTATGAGCACTTAAATGGCAGCATTGTCAACTCTTTCAGTGCTGATTTGTTGTAGCAGGAACATTCAGCTAGTGTTTTACATCCAGCTGCACTGGAGGATCTCTCACATTCTCACTTTCCTTTCATTTGAAAGGATTATACAGGATTAAGGCTGTAAATTCTGGAAATGCTCAACTGCTCTGTATGGAAGTAGGGCCAAGTAGCAAAGAAAATAAAAAATAAAAAAACTCCCTGTGGGAACAATGCAGATTTTGGGATAAAAAAAAATCACTTGCAGACTTTTCAAAAATCATCTTGCAGCTTTCTATTGTCTTGGCTAGTGGGATTTGTAAGGGAAAGTAAATCTGTGCTTTGAATCAAAGCAAGAGGACTTTATGTTGTATATAAACTGCTATAAAACTAGAAATGCTGTCAGAAGAAAGCTTGTAAAGTTAAGCTGGATTTTGTGTTTTATTATAGTTACAAGTGTCCACTTGCACTGAATGGAGATTGGTCTGAGGCATACCATGGAATTGCATAAGTCACACTACATATTTGTAGAATATGTGAAGCTACATTGTTTTCTGCATATTGTTGGGGGTCAGACTGAACAGGATTTACGTATACCTATGTATTTAATTGTATCTCAAAGTTAAAAGTTCTCAATGCATACATTAGAAAAATGGGGAAAGTATTCAGAGGTATAAGGACACATCATCCTATCTGAAGCTGTTTCTCAGATGAGGAGACAGGCTCCAAATTACTCAGATACCACAGTAATGGCCATAGAATAAATGTCTAAATACAACATTGCACACAGATATATTACCTTGAGGGTAGCTGATTGGCAGGCATATCACCTATTCTACAGTGGACATATTTTAATTGGAAAGGGATCAGAATTTCTCATGGTACCCAAGAAATCTGTGCTTTTGTTTTTCCATAAGGCTTTTATTAGCAGCTGGCTAGATCTCCCTCTCTAATCTTTGCATAGTGGCTTAATGGTCACAGGGTGTGTGATGGCAGGTCTTCCCTGGGAGACTGAGCAATCTGTAGGATTTCAAGGCAACACATCTGTCAGATTTACACAAACTTTAAACAAAGAACATCATCGTTCTGCCAGGTGGTCTCACCTCCTTCCCAACCTCATCCTGTCACGCCAGGTGGAAGAGCAGGGGTGTCACCCAGCACCTTCCCTGCCAGTAAAGTCCGTAGTCTCATGGAGGTGGGCACTGCGGAGGGCAGAAGTGAGGATGAGAGTGGAGGGCACTGGATCCCCCACCACACACACACCCTGCAGCTGGGAGCAGGGCACAGTGCCTCGCGGGAGGCGGTGGTGGCTAGGCTGCGGGGCAGAGGGAGAGGAAGGAGAAGCAGAGAGCCAGGGGGAGCTGGAGCTGCCAGGGAGGAGACACCTGGGCAGGCCGGGGGCCGGGTGCATCGCCCCCTGCCTCTAGCCCCCTGGGGGGTCCCGCTCCCCTCAGGGCCAGCCGAGCTGCCGGCAGCGCTGATTGGTCTCCGCCGTTACCCAGGCGATGGGCGGGGAGGTGAGTCCCCGTGTCGTCCCCGCCGCCCCCGCATCCTCCTTCCCGAGCCCGCTGCATCGGCACCGGGCGCAGCGCGACCCCTGGGCAGCCTGCTGCTGCCGCCCCCCTGGCTCCATCCTCCGGCCGGGCTCCCGCCGCCTGCCCCGGCCCCCCGCGGCGCCCGCCGGGCCATGGGCTGCGGGAACTCCACGGCCAGCAGCGCGGGCAGCCGAGGTGAGGGCGGCGCGGAGGAGGGAACTGGCGGGACAGGGGAGGGGGTAGGAGATGGGGTAGGTGGGGGTAAGGGCAGGAGTGGTTGGGAGGGGCCGGGGCGGTAGGTAGGATCCGAGGACGGAGGAGTAGGGTCTGGAAGGGAGGCAGGGCTGGGAAGCTGTTCCTAGGTTCAGGCTCAGGGAGAAGAGGCTTTTCCTTCCTTAAAGAAGAGGAGACCGGGCGTTTCTAGAACTGGAAACTACATTTCACTTTGCCAGGGCAGGGCTGCTCTCCTGCTGAACAAGAGACTCTCCTCAGCTGCTTCAGGATGCCGCGCGCAGGCTTTATCTTTTTTGGAGGGGGAAATATTTTTTTAAACTAGTGCTTTTTAAAGGCTTCCCAGCTCCATTCCACATAGCTGTTAAAATGCTGAAGCTAGAGAGGGCACATGTTAGCAATTCAGAACATATTGTGCAAAATATGCTGTGTAAACAACCCATCAAAAGGATCCAGTTTACTGGGGAAATTATTCCTCTAGGCTAATAAATAATACCATACTTGAGCCAGTTTTCATCAAGTAATAAGATTCTAAAGAGTAATAAAATATAAGGAGACTAATAGTAAATGTTTGTTAGGCGCAGTGTCTGCATCTGTCCTTTAACTATGATTTGTGTGGTTTTGGTAATAAGCACTTTCTGTGTTTGGTGGCTGGAACTTCAAGCGTTTCTTGTCCAACCTATAAAACAACAGAGCTTTTGTTTTTGGATCTGTGAATGTGGATTGGTCAGGGTGGGGATCTTTGACTTTACATTCTTCTCATTCTGAATGGCATCTTTATCCCTAACAATGTTCCAGTTTCCTTTCATAAAGGACCTGATCCAAAAAGCCCATTGAAATCACTGACGTCTTTCCATTGGCATAAGCGAGCTTTAGATCAGCCCCATAAAACATTAGAGAGACAAGGTGGGTGAGGTAATATCTTTTATTGGAATAACTTCTGTTGGTGAGAAACAAGCTTTCAATCTTACACAGATCTCTTCTTCAGGTCTCCAGAGCATTTACATCCTGCAGCCATAGGCAGCAGGAGTCAAAAGCTACATGTGGACATGCAACTGGGATGTAACTTGTATCCTCTTCACTTCCCACAAGGACTAAGAACACCACTTCTGTAATCAATTCATGCACCTTCCTGTACACTCTGCTTGTCTGAGAAGTTGTTCCTTCATGGACATTGTCCTCATGTTAATGTGTATTACTAACTGATCCATCCAGCTGGTTCCACAGCTTGTTGTGTTATTTTAAAAATAGATTTGATGTTTGTCAGTGCTGCTGGAGTGAAAAAAAGGGCTATGATAATTTTAAAATGGTAGTAATAGTGAGCACTTATATAGCACTTTTCATCTTCAAATCATTTGGTAAACATTAAGCAATATATTTAAGTGCTTTCCCCCCTTTTATTTATTTATTTGTTATTAGGGTATTCACAATCATTTGAAACAACCCAGTAAAGTAGAGGTAGATTCTGTTAGAAATGTGGGGCCTAATTCTTTTGACATTTACACCAGTTTTACATTGATCTAATTCCATTGACTTTAATGGAGTTGCTCCTGAATTACAGAGGTATGTCTAACTAAGGATTTACCTACACCATGCTGCAGTGCAGACTAAGGACTATGAATTGAAGAGTGCATAAATGTGTTGTGCTCTAACTGCCCCATGTGGATGCTGCTGGAGTGAACTAAAAGGTGCCTAGTTTGGTTAACATAGTTTTGTTTGCAAGAGGACTACATTAACATGAACTAGGTACCTTTTAGTTCACTCCAGCAGCATCCACATGGGGCAGCTAGATTGCCACACTTTGGTGTGCTCTGCAGTTCACACCCCTGTAATCCACACTACAATGCAGTGTAGTTGTAGACATAGTTTGTGAGTGTAAATTATGTTGGTCATATGCTCGCTGAACTGTATGTAATTAAATTTGTGTGCTGTAGTTGCTGGTCTTCTCACTAAACCCTGGACTATATGTTAATTGTTTAGGACTTTTTTTATCCCATTAATGCTTGTGTGACTCCTGTTTCCATTAATGAGTATAATGAATGTAAATACATGAGAGGCCTTATCTATACTCACAAATTGCACCAGTATAGTTTTACATCTATTAGTGGGAGCTGCCATGCCTCCTTCACACTTTCTCTCCCATCAGTGGTTCTTTAGGCTGCAGTTGCTAGAAGTCATTCCAGTTCACAACTGACACAACTTCATACTGATGTGAGTTAAATCAGGCTAGTGGCAGCGTTAACACATCCCACTTCTGATTAACTAGATGCAAACACTGGTGCAAGTGTAACAGAGGGTTTGGCTAGTATAAAACTTTTGTAATTGAGGTTAATTGTTTGCCAGTTAAATTAGATAATCTGTTTGTAAATGCTAGTTTGGACACACCACAAACTTTTGTTTCAGGATACAAACAGGTAAACCACAAACAGATTAGCATTTACGAACATGTTAGCTAGCTCAAGTTAAGTGGCAATCAAGTAATGGGTTAAAAACTCCAGTCTGGACGGACCCAGATTGAGCACAGTTTAGATACATTTATGTCTGTAAACCAATGTAATTTATACTAGTGGAACTTCTGTTTTTCTTTTAGGCTTGTCTATACACACATCTCCTAGGCCTGATTCTCCTCTCATTGACACCAATGTACATCTGGAATAACTCCAGTGAAGTCAATGAAATTGCATTAATGTAAACATGGCATAAGTGATCAGAGAATCAGGTTCCTAGCATTTAATTTTCTTCATAAAATCATATAAAAAGAGTACAGGTCCTGAAAGGCAAACATTTTTAAAAGTAGGTCTAATTAAAATAAAATGATGTTTTATTTAAGGAAAGGACAGAGATATAGCTTTCTATCATCATGCTGGAGTTATAAAGAAAAAATATTTCCCATCACATTACAAATAAAAATATTACACTGTATTTACAAACAAATTAGTTTTCTGCTTTGTACAGTAACGCTGCATCTTTGAAGACTAAGGCTACATCTATACTACAGGGGGGGAGTCGATTTAAGATACGCAAATTCAGCTACGTGAATAGCGTAGCTGAATTCGACGTATCGCAGCCGACTTACCCCGCTGTGAGGACGGCGGCAAAATCGACCTCTGCGGCTTCCCGTCGACGGCGCTTACTCCCACCTCCGCTGGTGGAGTAAGAGCGTTGATTCGGGGATCGATTGTCTCGTCCCAACGGGACGCGATAAATCGATCCCCGAGAGGTCGATTTCTACCCGCCGATTCAGGCGGGTAGTGTAGACCCAGCTTTAAGTTATAGCTGTGCTGCTATCAGGAATAGCAAAGCTAGCATTGCATGACATATAATTAACCTGAAACACGATCTGTCATACACTGTTACAGAAGCTAATACTTTAGTAAATTTCACAAAAAGGCTTAGGCATGTATGAGTCTCGATACCCCTTTCCTTTTTAGGTAAAATAACCATTGATGTCAATGTGAGTTTTGTCTGAGTAAGGCATATATGTAATTATACCATCTGCCCAATGCATAGAATAACAGCACCTTCAGTTATGCTAGCTAGTATAGCACTAGAAGAGCTATCAATCCTCATGAGTCAGGAGGATATAAATGAATAGACAGGTGGGATTAAGAACAAAATTACCACCCAAAGTATAGTATTTCACAATAAAGTATATTATGGGGTGTTTAAATCGTCTTCCAAGCATCAAGCATTGGAGGCAGGATTCAAGACTAAATGGATCATTGGTCTCTTGCAACATGCAATTTCTGTGATCCAAGTAAACTGAAGTATACGCCCTCTTTTTTTTTATAGCCCCACAATTTTAAGTCTTTAAGCTACAGTACACTAGGCTAAGGTACATTAGAGAATCAGTGCAGCTGCACCACTGCACCACTGTAAGCTCTCTGTGTAGCCGCTCTAAGCCGACGGGAGATAGCTCTCCTGTCGACTTAATTAATCCACTCCCAACAAGCGGTGGCAGCTATCTCAGTGGGAGACGCTCTCTCACCGACATAGCATTGTCCACACCAGTGCTTATGTCGGTATAAGTTATGTTGCTTGGGGGGTGGGGTGGCTAATTCACACCTTTGAGCGACATAACTTAGGTTGACTTAAGCTGTAGTGTAGCCATACCCTTAGTTATAGAGGATGTTTATTTTTAAACTTTCCTATTATCCATAAGGAGTTTTTACTAACAAATCCCTATTTTCCTTTTTATTTTTTGATGGGTTTTAGAAGCTCCAAAGTGGCTTTTCTTTTTTGCCCATAAGAAATCTGTCCTTAAACATTACTTTGTTAAGTTTGTCCCATGTTAGGGTATGTCCCACCATTCCAGCATTGTCTGTGCTAGCAATTTTCTTAAAATGTCCCATCTTTGCACTGCCACTGTTGGGAGTAATGGTGGGAGCAATGACAGCCTTAAATGTGGGTGCTCAATGGCTGCTGGAGACCTAAGCTTTCGTTTAAAAAAAGAGAGAAGCTGCTAGCCCACATAATTTTCATTTTTTGATTTTGAGTTTTTGTTTAAACTCCAAAAAATATTGTAAGAAATTTCTCTAAGAACATTTTTATTTATGTCAAAATTTTTCATGAGAAAAATTATTTCCTGACCAACTCTGTTAGCCAGATATCTATAGAGAGAGCAGGGTCTCTTTTTCTATATTAATGTATTTATTCCATTAAGTCAGTGTTTGGTTATCTCTTATCCTTCTTAATATTTTTCCCCTGAAGCCATGCTCCCTCTTGTATGAGTCACTCATAATGCATTTCTTCAGCTCAGAAAAATATGTATGTAAAATTCTTTCAACAGTCTTCTGCATTCAGAGTCCACTTACTAACATTCTGTGGTGATGCTCCGTACCAAGCATCTGTTGTTTTAAAACTACAGTAATCGTCTTGATCAATGAAAGATGCCCCCAAGATACATTTTTGTCCTTCACATGCAACTGTTTAAATGATATGTACTTGGGGGGTTTGCAGCTACA